ATTCTCTGTTCTATATCATACAGTTTTCTGGGAGTCATAGGAGGGTTCTTCAAACCATGTTTCGTAGGATTAGGAAAAGCATTCCTTCCTAAGAAATAAGAGAAAGGAGTAGATGTGTGCCCTTCACTGGATGATGCAGATTTACAATAAAATGCAATAGAAGTTAGAAAATAAGAACCTTTCTTTACCGTCTTAATTCAACTAAACGAAGAACCTTTGTTATTGCTTGCTGACTTTTGTTTTTCCATTAGTTATGGATAACTTAAACCACAGTTTAAGTTCTTGCAATGCAGAGATGATTACCAATCAAGTTTCGGGTTTTTGGTAATTTGTTTTCTAAAATCATGAAAGATGAAACAGAGATGAGGAAATTGTCTACTTTATGAACTTGATAGGTTAGGGGTTACGGAAATATACTTAACACCCTTTCAAAATTCTGGGTAAGAATATTAATCATCAAAGCAAAAGATATGGAAAGAAATCTGAGATATTTTTATATTGGATTCTTGTAATTCAGTTTGCCAAATGTGTTTTTGATAGCCAAGCTTTGTTGACTCTTATTAAAAAGTCCATGCTGTTTAATTCCTCCAACTTTATTAGTAGTTACTTAGTAACATCTTGTGCTCTGCGGCAACCCTGCAGGGGATGAAAGGTACACAGCACCTTTTGCTATATTCAGAAAAGCATAGTGGGTCAGAATAGAGACAGACAAGAACACAAGCCTGAGAAAGATGCAGCCAGCTCTCCTCTGTAATGATTCCTGTTGTGGAGACTCTGGATGCATAGGAGACTTGTCAGTTACTGATCTGCTTGCTGTAGTCATATGCCTCTCCAGCCAGCATCTGTGTTTTTTTATTTAACCTCTGCCAAATGAATACTTTTGGATTTAAAAGGGAATATTTTGTCTCTGAGCTAACACATTCTAATGCTGCATTAAAGCTGCCCTAGAGCTGCACTGAATTTCACTTGCTTTGTCAGACTATGTTGATTTTTTTCTTTTCTTAGTATGTATATTGTTTCCCATATGTAATGTAGCACAGTGTGGAACCTTAATTTCATTCAGGTTTCAAGCACTACAGATGAATGCAATAGGTAGGGTATACCTGCTTTTTCTGAAGAAACTGTACCATTGCATAGTCCTATTCCTTTGTATTATATTGTATAATAGGTGCTATACCAATAATTGCATGTCCTCATGGTAAATTATATAATATAAATATTTATATATACATATATGTATATGCTTATATAAACTCATTCTTTCTCATTTTTCATTTGTAACTTATGGACCACAAATAATCCAGTTCCCTTTCTGTTATTTCCTGTATACTTACCTCTTCTATTCTCACCCGCACCCCTGCCAAAAAAATCCAGAATGCACAAAGTCTTATAGCCTTTATACCTTGGTACAGAATTGAAGGACTGCTGATTTCTCAACCAGCCAGTGTTTTGTGTTGCAGCTTGTTTTTTTTTTTTAATTTCTAATTTCATGTGCACATTTGCATATGGAACAAGAACAAAGACTCAAAAGTTATCTTTATTTTTTATTACAAATAGGTCTTACTCATTTTTATTTCATGATGTGAGTTCTTAATTGCGAATACTTTTCATATAGGAACACGGACAGTCTATGAATACCTAATGGATGAATGTGACAACAACAAATTTCATCTTTTCCTTCCCATTTTCTACATGTTTCTTTACAGTATACCATAAAAAATAGTTTAGTCACATTGTGATGTTTTTGTCCTGGGCACTTGCTGGAATTATTTGTTAAGGTGGTGTGGCAGCCCGTGATTATTTTTCCTTATTTCTGAAAAGCATTTATTATCATCATGTAAGTTTATTCCTACATTATATTGTCAGATTTCATAAGTACTAACTTTATGCATCATTGCCTGAAAATGCTGAAGTTGAGGTGTTTATATTTTCTCTCTAGTGTAACAGGATCCAGAAGCAGTAATTACTTTACAGGTGAGAAAGCATATAACACCTCTTTTATGTTGTCTTCAAAGTCCAGGCTTGTCCGTTGTTAGACATTACTATGTAAAATAAACCAATGCTGTAGAAATTCACTTGTACTTGAACTACTTGCCAATGTAAAAACAGTAAACTATGCCAAAAAGAAAAAGAGAAATCAGTTGTGATTGATGACATAGGCTTCTTTTGGTGACAAAAAAGGTAGAAGGACTATATTCCCTCAGTTGCTTCTTTGCTGTAGATTCAACATGATCTAAGGAGAAAATTATGAAGATGTGAATGGAGGAGCAATTGTGAATAACTTAGCTTGAACTACCTGCTCTTCTTGAGGTTTTTGTTGCTTGATACCCTTCTCCCAAAAGTTTACAGAAATGCTTACTGTAATCCAACACAGCAATCAGTTAATGTTATTAAGTAATAGTCAGCTGATCAACTCATTCATAAATATTAGCTTAGTATTTCTAGAGGACCTATGTAATAATTAAGGACTCTGTAAGCCTCAGTATTTGAATGTGGAAATGGCTCTGCAGAAAGCCACCAATGTGCACATGTGTGACCCTTGTGCAGAGTGTGTGTGAATAGTTTTGGCAGGTTATCTGCAACACATTTTCAGGGACGGGGAAGATTTTTCTCCAGTGTACAAAATGACTGCCGTTACTCTGCATAGCACACAGCAGTTTATATAGGAATATTAGCTGGGAAACAATAAAATTCAATGAGCTGTTGCTTTGTCTTCTTCAAGCCTCCATTTCTTTGGAGGGCAGTGCAATGGAGCCATGACATGTAGCAGGTGCAGATGCTGCATGCTCATTTCCTCTTTATGGTGTATTCTGTGTTGTGGCCAGCACTTTGGAGCATTTTTTAGAGAAACTGAGGTATGAAGTCTTTAAACTAAAATAGAACTTGAAATCACCAAACGTGTCACACAGTTTTGTGCTACAATATTGCATGGTAAAATCAATCTAAGTTACAATCTCAAAACTCAATATTAATTAACCTCTTTATTAATTGCAAATGCCAATTACTACTTAGGTAAAACCCTGCTAGAATAATAGAAAGTGTGATACAGTAGAGCAATGTTGGCAAGTTGTATGATGCTAAGCACCTATCTACGGCTTCAGCAGGATCAATAAGCATAGAAAATTTCACTGCTCAAAGGCAGGAGCAAGATGAGGTCTTAACTGCTAGTTCTATATAATTATACAGGAGGCAAAGCCCTGCAGAGTGACACAAGGCATTCATTACAGCCACCAGCCACATCCTGTCTTGGGAAATCTGGACATATTCTTAACTTGAAGTCTGCATGTTTGAGATCAAGCTTTTTTGCATACCTCACTAAAGTCTTGATGTATAAGAAAGGATTTGGTCCTATATATTTAAAAATAGCTTGAAATATTTTTCATCTGAAAAAGACTTGCTGGAGCTCTATCATCTACAATTTGTAGTATTATGGTAATAACTATTGCTGGGAAAACACACAATTTTGATTTTATATATATATATATAAATACACATTTGTACTTAAGTGTATCTACATATACACTTATATAGATACTGTATATTATATAGAAATATATATATACATACATACATATGTGTGTATATACATATAGATAGGAAGAGTTTCAGCTATTCCATCCTGTTCACTGGAATTAATTTGCCAGAGTGAGCCAAGACCTGTTTTACTTTGATTTACTCTGGTCTCCTTTTAATCTACTGCAATGTCCCTATGCCCTAATTCTGATTCCGTGTCTTTTTCATATTACAAGGCCTCATCCCATAGTCCTACTTGGACAAAACACCCGTAAGTCCTTCTTATTGCAGTAATATTTATGCAATTGTTGACTGTAATGCTTCTAAAAACAATTTTTCTTTTTCTCTTTGATGAGAATGTAGATAAAGCCAGATTTACAGTAAAGTCTTTTTCCTGTAAACAGAATTTTTCTGTAATGAATTGAACATTTTTATGGAACACTTAGAGACATAAATTCTGGTAAGAAGAATGTGATTATTCCAATTTCTTAAAAAGGTCTAATGGAAAATTAATGATATGTGCCTCCAATTTTTATATATATCTTAAATGAGAGAGTAGTCTTCTGAAAAGGAATAGGAGAATAAAAGAGACCTCAATGTCAAACTCTTTCTCATGACAGGCCTATAATATGTGGATTTTTTCATGCAGGACTGATGCTGTGAGGTGACAAGAGCCGTGTGTGTCTTGTCATTCTCGGTGAGTCAGGGTCTGCTTCGGTTAACACCAAGATTGCTGTGTTGCATTCTCTGTATGCTTTTCCACTTTTAGGAATGGTCAGAGAACTGTTGGCTGGATAAAGGCCTTGATTTTTATCCTTGATTCCTCTGTTCAGCTGGTGAAAGCTTTGGGTGCTTGTTGGATGGTGAACGAGGCAGTGCTAGGTTAGCAGTTGAACTTGGATCTCGGGGGTGTTTTCCAACCTTGATGATTCTATGATTCTTCTTTCTGAAATTTATAGAACAGGGCATAATATTTTTATTCAAATTCTTTTAGCTAATCAAGTAGGCAGTGAACTGATGGGGTTTGTTTGCTGTTTTGCTTTTGGCTCAAATGTCTTTGGTTGTAATTAGTACCATTTTTGGTTACCAGGAATGCTGGTTAAAGGAAGTGAGGTTCAATGTTTTGACTACATGCATAGGTCATACATTTCTTAGCTAATAAATTGCATAAACATGCACCTCACATAAGAATACCTCACCTGTCTGCTTGAAGCCAGTCTTCCTTTTCCCTACACATAGTTAATATTTGTGAAAGAGAAATTATATAAATCAGCTTAGATTACATAATAATTGTCAGGAATTATTTTACACTATTGTCAAACGCCAGAAAGTTTTTACCATTTATTTTCATATGGTTTAAATAATCAGGCTTTTGAATATATATCTTAAAGGAGGGGTTTTTGTTTGGTTGGGTTTTTTAAGGAAAAATGTACTGAAGTCCATTGTTTCAAAGACTGATGTATTAACTTTGCAATGACTCTTGCCAATCAGGTTTGAACAGGTAGGCTGATTTTACTCTCCATTGATGATAACACATTGTCTCTCAACAATAATAATGACAAACCCAAATGCTATGCTCTTGTTTCTCCTCTACATGAAGAGCTTGGACCCCTGGGAGTTCTTGCTGTTCTTGTGCAGGTGCAACTTCATTAAAATCGGTATAGGGTCCTGTATTGTTAAGGCTCTTTCCCCTGATTAGGGACTGAAAAGATAAAATCACTCTATAAATATCAAATTTACCATTACTGTATTTTAAATTGGAAAATGCTTATTTTTTTATTGTTGTTATTATTATGACATGACATGACATGCCTCTGGATCTCTCTTTTTCTGTCAGAATTACTGTTGAGGGCCAGCTTTGGCCAAGAATACAATGTGGTTTCTTTTAAAACAATACCACAAGTGGGCTGCTTATGTGACGCCCTCAGCATCCACAAGTGTCTGTGGGAATTCAGCTGGAATTAATTTGATGTTTGTTTTGAGATCACTTGATCTTTGACCTTTTATGTAAAAGGCCTATGGTGACAGTGGAACAGCTTGCTCCGAAAGATGCAATGTAATTAATTTGGTCTGCTTGGCTTCAAATCCTTTGAAACCCGTATCTGCTGTATGGCAAGCAAGATCATAAAGGTTGGATGCAAAGTGAAGTAGGATTTTTTTGGACAATTTCACATCTTTTTCCTCTGACTGGAGATCTGGGTTTGTTGCCAAGCAGCCTTCTCTGCATCCTCTTTACTTTCATTGGCTAGAAAGCAAGACTGGAAATTCTTTCCCAGCTTTTAACTTTCTTTTCTATAGAGTCAGCCTGGACTCAAATTGCAGTGCTTGTGCTAACAGATGCCAATTTTAAAATGCTTTACTATGAATATCCAAACTAGTAGATTAAAGAAATCACCAGCAATGCCTTCAGACAAGTACTGACTTTTTGAAGTGGCCAACCAATGGCTGCTAATCTAAAATCTCTGGGCAATACCACAAAGAATTAAATCTGTGTATTAATTAAAAATACAATGTTGACAACACCATAAGAAATCAAGTACTCGATAGTAAAGTCTGCAGCATAATTATATTAAGTGGAAAGTAGTTCTGAGATTGTGTTTTACCATTGAGGAAGACAAATGTTGAGTCCTTCAAATTCTCTTACTCAGTAACTGCAATTCTCTTCCCCTCCTTGGAAATCCTGTAAAACATTCTTTTCATTTAAGTTTGCTCAGGCACCCAAGAGCATAAGAGTTAATGCCCTTGTAATGGTCATTTGTACATAAAGTTGTAATTATTTATTTTCTCATTTGTACCATATCAAGGCTTTGTACAATGTTTAAGTTTTGTTTTCAAATTATTTTGTATTTTATTTTTATAAACTGGTTCTAAATAAAATATTCATTCAGCATGCAAAACTTCAATTCTTGATTGTGTTTGTATAATGATTCATTAACTTATAAAGCTTTAGCTGAAATATTTTTCAGTGTTTTCAGGTTTTTTTTTTACTATTGTAACCCTGTAATTTAAATGGATAAAATGCTTTGGCAGTGATTATTTTTTTCTCTGTTTCAAGAAAGTAAAAAGGATGCGTATGTTGGTACTACTGCAACATGAATCAGATGTTCATACTGCAAATTGAAAAGATTGTATCAATGGAAGTTTAACTGATTTAGTAGGCTTATGTGTTGTATAACTATGGAAAATCCAAATGGGCCTCCTCAGAAACTTGATTTTCTATTTGTTCTTATCCCTTCTGTCTGTGTTCATCTAAACAATAAATGATTGTCACAGCCAGATCAGGTCAATTTAAGTAACAATATGGTGGTCCTGAAAAGCCAGCTGCTGATGGCATTTTTCCCTTTAAAACTTTACTTTTTTATTGAGTCAGAGGTCACTATAATTGACCTCTTTTGGGGATAATCAGCTGTCTGCATGTAGTCACTAAGCTTTTACAGTCTCTTGAGGACACTTGTCTCCCTCTGTGCAATAAACTTAAGCAGCAGACAGCAGAGAAATGAATGAATGGAAGTTGTTACTGAATCTGAGTGCTATGGGGAAAATGCAGTGATAAGCTACCAGTTGCTCTAGTTTCCTCCAAGACCCTTTTATTTCTCTTTCTAGTAACACCAAGTATGAGTGTAAAAGCATCAAAATTTTTATTTGTGGCTTGTGTGCCTGAATGTCTTAGTCCTATGCTACCAGAAAATAGTCTGCACTTTGCACAGTGGGACAAGTTTTTTAGGGAAGTCCAGAAGAATTGTAGAAAATTCCCTGGATCTCTTTCTCAGTATTACCACTGTTTTGCCATGCATTCAGGCAAATTTAAGCCAGCTCTGCCATTGTTCAAATCATTGACAGTATTTTCATTAAGCTTCATGACCAGGTCATTAGCTCTTGTCATTTATACAAATAGCCTGGACAGCTCCACAGGAAACAAATTGGGAGTTCATTCACTCAGTAACAGTTCAAGAAAATTATGTTTCACCTTCTGTTAACAGCAGCCAGAAACTTAATGGCATTGCTTATGGATGTGCACATGATTTCAGTGCTCCCAACCCAACCATCATCTGATCACAGAAAGGGTGTATAAAGAAATAGCAATCAACTGTATTAATTAAGATGAAAAGAACAATTTTGCCCACTTGGTAGTGAGAGGTAGCTCAGTTTCCTTCCATTTTTAAAATATGTAAATCTAGAATGTGTCAGAAGTGCTTCCACAAGTGATTTTGATCTGGCTCCAGTATATTTTAGCGGTACAACTGAAACAGGGAAAGATGCAAGGTCAGAACAAACATGCTGTGGTACATTGATGTTGAGGTCTGGTTGTTGCCTAACCACCACAGTGTCTTTTCACATTGCTTGGCTTGTCTTCATTCATACAGGAGAGCCAATCTGCCCCTTCTGCTCACAGGATCTTGCTGCACTTCTCTACTCGCACTGTAGCTGCCTCTCATGTAAATCAGTACTGGAACATGAGAAAGCAGACACAAGTCACCTCTCCCAAGAAATGCTGGAATATATGAAATTCAGGTGTTAACAGTTGCAAAAAGAATTGAAACAGCAAAAGAAAGACAGGTAAGAACTGCCAGTTGCAACCTGGACAAGCTCAAACTGCTGCCGAGAAGGACCAAGTAGATTGCATTTGCTAATCTACCTGGAATGTCATGGTAGCATGAATTAGCTTCTGTGTCCATGAAAACACAATACAGAAAACCCAGCTCAAGAGAGCCCATCTGTACTGATAGGGGAGAAACAATGCTTCCAACAGGTATATTTGGAAAGCTTTTGACAATATAGACACAAAATCTGATTTAGAAAGATGAATTCTCTGTCATTCTATAACTCAGCAATTTCTAAGTACTTGTCACCCATACCATTTTTTGATAAGGTAACCCTGGAAAAAAGAACGTTCTTTTCTTCAAGGCATTAATCCCAATTAACATTGTGCTGCACATGCATACATTTTATTTTTGTGAGATATTTGCATATGTTACTCCATCTGTGATTCTGAAGGGAAGCATTTGCTAACAACTGATTACCCTGTTTTCACATTTTTGTAGGCAGCAGTGACTCGCTTTTGAAGTGCAGATGAGTTAATTCAGTACACCAAAATGGTGTAAGGGTGGAAATGAAGTACGTTTTCATACGGTGGTGATCAGTCAAAGCTGACTGCAAAAGTGGCCTACCTTATGCTATGATTACATATCCTTATGCTTCTGGGAGAGGGGCAATTCAATTGTGATTTTCTATGTTATTTGTATTTGCTAAATTCCTGCAGCAGGAATGTGCAAACTGACTGTAACACTAGAAGCAGCTAGTCATTGCTATAGGGCAAATTTATCTGTAGAGCCTTTTAAAATGTTGGTGATAAATGCTTAAGAAGAGCACCTGTATGATTTTTCAAGTCATTGGACAAAATTTCAGGTGAGAGTGTTTTTGTTTGAACTCTGGTACAGACATCTTACAGATGTAAGAACATTGCACTTCTGCTACTTCTGAATTGTGCAAAGTAGAGTGACTCTAATATATAAGCCTGAAACAACTTAAAATAGTGCCAGTGACAATAATTTTCCCTATCTAAATGTAAAATGGCGATTTTTCTTTTTGGCATGAAGATGAAATGATTATTGCTTGTTTCAGGGGTGACACCAGGTTACATTTTGCTCCAACTCTTCATTATGTTTCTTCTTCCTTGGCTATATAGTTATAAGAAAGGAAATGATAATGAAAGTTTTCTAAATTACGCAGGAGCATTTGTCTGGAATGAAGTGAGCCCCTGCCTCCTGTAATTTAACAGCAATTCTGACTTCCATTTCATGTAAAACAATACAAAGCTTTTTGCTCTCTGTATTTCAAATACTGTGGTATTGATGCCATAAGGCTTACAAAATCAGATGAAGATACAGCCTACATATAACCTATATGTCAGCAACAGGCATCACTCATCCATTCCTCATTTTTCTGTATTTCTCTATTTTAACCATGTGACAAAAAAAGAGACTACCCTGCTAGTGCAGTAATACACAATGTCTCTGAAGAGAAGGTGCATTTGACAAGCTGGGAATGAACAACAGCCAAGTGGAACAAAGATGTATAACTTCTGAGTAGGACACTCATGAATACTCAGTGCTAAACCATTCCTAGAATAAGCAAGTATCTTAAACTCCTTCTGTGATGCCTTGCACAGCTCAGACTTAAAAAAACTCAACAACAACCAAGCAAACATCCCCAACATAACTATTAGAAAAGAGAAGTATTTAAAAAGCCAGCTACTTCTGAGGCTTGTTTAATCCAAGAACCTAGTAACTTCAGTGAGATAGCTCCTGGTGGTAGTAACTATAATGTTACTTTTTTACCTCACTTTCATGCCTTTTATTTTTCACAAGGTGACATTAAACAAAGGATGATACAGACGAAAGTCTTACTCATATGTTTGCTTTTTTAAGAGAATAAGGGGATAAAGAAAATAATAAATTTATTAGCCAACTGCATCAGAATTAACTGGAGACTGGCAATTAGTGTTTAATGCCACCTATAGCAAAATGTTTCCCACTGGGAAAAACATGGGAGGCAAGTCCACTTTGCTCCTTCGAAGTTGCAGGCCAGAGCAGAACATACATCAGCACCCAACAACACAGTCATTTTACATATATGCAAGTTTTTACACATCTGCAAAGCAGAAGTAGTAGCAGCCATTTGGATGTTCTTTCTTAATGGTTCTCAGGGGGGGCCTAGGAAACTCGGAAGGACCTGGTTCTTGTGACATGGAGCTGGAGCTGCAGCTGCTGCTTCTGCTGCTGCTTCCAGCTACCTGTGGTCTAGCTCTGTCCTTAGCAGGAGAGAGCTGGGGGGATCCTGGGCTCAGGTACCCAGCTGTGGTCTGAGTAGAGGCAGTGGCATGTGTGGTTGGGCCAGTGTTGTTTTTCACATAGACGTTCTTGATAGCAACAAGCGTATGTGCCATGATGCTGATGCTGTTATTCAGATCTTGCATGCCTTGCTGCAGCAGCCGAAGATTGTGGTTGACACTGTCAAAGCCAGACTGGATCACCTGTATTTGGGTCTGCTGAATCTGCAGTAGGTGCTCTTCAGTCATTTCATTTTGGTCTGCCTGGCACCTGCCTTTTGTTTTGGCTTTTACTTTCCCAGAGGAACCACCGCCTGATGTCCCCAGAAAAGGCAGTTGTTCTTGACTAGGTGGAACCACTACCATGTCCTCAGAGCTTTCTTCTGTCTCCACCACCTTCACTACTATTTCTTCTTTGAGGTTCATCTGCTCAAGACTGGATTGATGAGATGGGCCAGGACTGCCATTAAACCCTAGAAAAGGTGAGGGGGGGGGAGGGAAGAAAAGCAAAGTAAAGCCCATGAGAAACTTCATAATCTCAGTGGTGACGTATTTTCTCATCCACTAAGCACTAACATCAGTCCTTGAAACATAGTGGGAGTTTGAGAGTCTTGTTATCTTTGATGGTTTTAGAATACAAATTACCTCGATAGGTGGTAAGAAAACCATAAATATGCATTCAGCAGTTAACCATGTATCTGCATACTACAGCTCCCTTACCACCACAGAAGCCAAGCTTTAGGATCCCAAAGTTCACTGCATGCTCATTTCATGCTGTATTGTGCACGCAGTAAACAGTAAGAGTATTGCTGAAACACTGGATTGTGAGAATTCCTTGGTATTCCAGCGTGCTAGGACAATATCACTGGCACATACGAAATTACGTGCTGGCAGCACTTTGTACTGGCTGGACCTGCGTGCTGCCATGGCTTTTTGCATTTGCAAGAATAATTACGGCAACAGTGAAGATCGGTGGCCGGGTCTAACACCTCGTGGATGGGCAGCATCTGCTACGAGACGCTGTTTTTACTCTTAAGTGCTGTTCTTAGGCACTTCTATGACCTAGAGCACGAAGCCTGACAGTTGTGTGTGCGTATACGTTTTGCCTTTCCAAGGGTCCGAACCAGCGCTTTCTGCGGGGCCGGTCCCGCGGTCCCTGCGCGCACGCAGCGGGCGGGCAGCGCCGCTCCCCCGCAGACCGCGGCTCCCGCCGGGGGACGCCGGGCGGAGGGTCCGCGGGGGTCGCTCCCGCACTCACCCATGTCCCCCACGACGGCGCCCGGCAGCTCCAGCGTGTCGATGCCGCCCACGATGGGCACGGCCTCGGCGGGCAGCAGGGAGCCGTAGGGGCGGCGCTGGCGGCGGGCGGGCGGCGCGGCGGCGGGCGGCAGCTCCTCGGGGGCCAGCAGGAGGCCGAGGGCGGGCGGCGGCGGCCCGCAGCCCTGCGAGAGGCGGCACAGCTTGCTGCGGTCGCGGCGCTTCAGGTCCCGCCAGCGCTTCTTCAGGTCCTCCACGTCGCGGGGGCAGGCGGCCACCGGGTTCACCTTGTGCCGGATCAGCTCCCACACCTTCCGCTTCTGGCCCGCGGAGGCGCGGCCGGGTCCCGCCGCGAACAGCAGCTGCTCGTGCTTCAGCACCTGCTCGATCAGCACCTCCGTCTCCGCCTCGTTGAAGTTCGCCTTGCGCCGTTTGGGCGAGTCCTCGGCCATCCTCCGCCGCGGGTGTCGGCGGGGGGCGGGCGAGGAGCCGCGGGGAGGGGGGACGCCGCTGCCCTTCCCCGCGCCCCGGCCCGCGGGTGCCGCCGCCGCTAGGCCGGGCCCCGAGCCTAGCTGGGGAAGGAAATACCGCGCATGAGAGGAAAAGACGCGCACGGACCGGCGCAGGCGCCCCGTGCCCCGCGTGTTGACATGGGGAGGGGGCGCGGCCCCCGCCCGCCTCCCCGGCGGGAATCCCCGCTCGGCGCCGCCCCCGCGGGAAGGGGGGACGCGCCGGGCCCGCCCCCGGCGCGGGCTGTGCGCGTGCTCGGCGGGAGCGCGGCCGGGAATGGCGGCGGTTTTGGAGCTGCTGCTGCAGGAAGAGGTGCCGGTCAGCGCCGTGGTGCGGTGGCTCCGGCGCGGTCCCGGCCGCCGCCCGGCTGAGGTAACGCGCGCTAGGTCGTCCGCCCGCAGCGCCCTGGCTCTGGCAGGGCCGGGCCCGCAGCCGCGCCGCTCCCCCGGCGCCCTCCGCTGCCGCGGCCGGGGCCGTGCGGGAAAGTTTGTCCGCTCCGCGCTGCTGTGAGGGGCGAAGCCCGCGTGGGTCAGCCCGGGGCCCCGTCAGGCGCCGTTCTGCAGCAGCGGCCGAGCTGCTGTCGAACCGGCGGCGGCACCGCCCCCGGCGCGGGCGGGCTCCGGGCACGGCGGCGGGAAGGCGAGGCCGCCGGCGGGGAGCTGCGCCGGGAGCGGCCCGGCGGGCGTGTGGAACCGCTGGGGCGCGCGGGGCTGAGCCCGCCGGAGCTCCGCGCCCCGCGCCCGGCGGTCTCTGGCGGGCGGCGGCTCCGGGGAGGCCCCGCGGGCGCGGGGAGCGCCCGGAGCCCGGGGCGAAGCGCCCGGAGCCCGGGCTGCCGTGTGCCAGCGCAGAGCCCAGCGGGACGAGGGGCGAGCAGCGCAGCACAGCACAGCTGGTGTCCCGAGGAACGCGATGGCACTAGGGGTGACGCTTCCCGCACCTTCGTAGGGGAAGGCAGCGGTGGAAGGAGGACGAGGCTGTCAGCGCCCGGTGATGGCTTTGTGCAGGCGCCGGCGCGCCTCCCGGCTGGACGCTCGTCCCGCCTGGAGCTTCAGGAGGATCTTTGCGGGCTGGGAGAGGGTGCTTGTTGGCTGGGTTTTGTAACTAACGATTTGGGTTCGTGTGGAAAGAAAACGATTTGTAACTGTAAGAAACGCTAGGAGTGCTTAAGTTTCACATGGAGAATACCACAGAGAAACAATTGGCATTTAGAGCATTTTCTACGTGAGCCCCTTGAATAGTGTTATCTAGTATTAAAATCAAAACTCACTAGTGTCACCCCCATGTGTTAGTTGAGTATTACTGTCATCCTAAATGTGTGGGAAAAATGGACCAGCACTTTTATGTTGTGTGGTATTTCTTCAGCTGTGACTTGCAGAAGCAGACCTGTGGACATTATGAAGTTTGAGATCCTGGCAGCTCATTGTGTGGGTGAGGGGTGTGGAGTTAAAAAAGTTTGCCCTTGCAAGGGAATTTCTTGCTGCCTTTTACTGTTGGGAGCAGTGCAGTTGCTTCAGCATGAGAAAGCAAGTGGGAGGTTTGCAGCTGGGAGCAGGTTGTTGTTATCCAGTTATGGAAGAACCAAAGCTCAGTTAACTTGGACAGAGAAAGATGAGTGAAAATAGGTTGTGAACTGAAAACTTGGAGAAACTACCCAACCTTCTGCATAGCATAGACTGCAATCATCTTTGTGCTCCTATGCTAATTCCAGGGGAAGGAATGCTAGGCTATGTCTTGCTCAAGCTCTCATTGCAGTTTTGGGCTGGAGATGGTCGTCTGACACCTCATGGGGGTTGTATTGTGACCTGTGCTTTTTCACTGCTTGTTGGCTGCTTGGCTTGTTATCTGGGCTGTGTCAGAATTTCACACTTCTCCAAGGAGCTGAATTGGTCTCATGTTTTCAAATATGAATTTTAGTGTAGGTGTTGAAGACTGTATGAGTCCAGTTACAGGCATGTTTTTGCTTCTTTCATGCAGAAACCATCTTCAGAAACAGCATTTGCTTTCTTGACTAGTTAGGGTTGTGAATATAACTTTACTGGAGTATGTATGCAATGCTTTCAGTATTAGTAAGGAAAAAGTTGCTGCCTTTGAGAACTTCTCCTGTTGTTGCAAACGTTGCTGAATCCCATTGAGAGGAAACAGAAACCTGGTGCAGTGTTAGGAACAAATTAATTTTGTCTAGGGTACAAAACTTTAAACTACACATGTAGCATGAAGTTGTTTTCGTTAGGTTTGCCCTTATAAGATCACCACCACCTGTTTACATATCAAATGTGTTGAGTCAGTGGTGGGGTTTTTGTTTAAGTTTCTCAAGTATAAACTTCATGCACCTTAAAGTTGAAGAGTCTCTGTTTAGACCTCCGTGAGGTCTTGAGCACAATTATTTAATTGAAATGGAAGAGGAGCTTTGGTCTTGTATTTGGCGCTGCAGGACTCCAAGTGCTTCTTCCATTGTTCTAGCACCCCTCTGTGGGAGCAGGCGGCATTCACAGAAAATAGGGCACTGAGACCTTGCAGATTGTAGATTTTTCTGTTAGAATTAGATTATTTCAGTATTGATGTTTTCAAAATGTTGAACTTAGAGGTGTCAATTGCTCCAAGTCCTTCCTGGCCATAGCTTCTGTGAGTATTATTGACGTTTCCATGGAACAGTTCAGAGACCAAATTTTTCAGTCAGAGACCAAAGTGAATTACTCCATCTGAAAATTTGAGTCAAAATGGCTTGTGTGTAGGCTGATTTTCAGGTCTGTGACCAGCACTGTGGTTGCTTGAATTTCAGTGACTTACTTTGGCAAGTCATGTTGATTTTTATTGTGTTTTGAAATCCCATAGTTACTACTTAAATATGTCTAGGTGCTTGGACAGAAAGAATCAGGTAGCATCTTTGTATTAATTTTTTGTCTGCTTCTCTTGTAGGAGAACCACATCCATGACAAACTGGTGTCTCTTAGCTTGCTTCAGAAAGATTTTGTGCCTTTTCTGCTAAATTTTTTAAGGGAGCAGACCAGCCAGATCCTGACTAATGGACCCCCTACTCCTGCTAAAACTCCTAATTCCAAGGCCCATGGGAGCCAAAGGACAGGATCAGAAAGGAGGGCAGGCCATGCAACCAGCAGCCGAGTGCAGCTCTTTTCTCAAAGGACTTCAGTGACCACCTGCACCACAGATACCAGCTTTTCTCCTGCCGCAGCATCCAGCAGTTCCTCTTCCTTTTCTGGGTCGAACCTGTCTAGCCCTTACAGCGATTTCCCCAGCGTGGTCTCCAGCAGCAGCCTGAGCTTTGGGCACAGCCCTGTGCTCCACCACGGTGAGAAGCGCTCCTCTCAGAAGGCCAGCCTGGGGAGCTTCCTCACGGCCACGCCTGAAGCCCTGCCCGTGAGGCGAGGCCGCAGGAAGGGCAGCAGCTCGGTTGGTGCCTCCGGCCGGCAGGTAGCTCGTGATCTGGGGCGTTCCCTCGCTGAGGAGGAGGATGGAAAGAGTGACAGTGGATCATGGAGTGGAGGGAGAAGGAAGCGGAGTGAAGTGCCTCTTGTTTCTGCCAGATCCCCACCCAGCCAGCTAAACCTTAACAACTTGGAGGAGTTTCCACCCATGGGTGCTGCGTCTGGCTGGACAAAGTAAGAGCGAGTCTGCCTCGCTGTGTCACTGGGATAGCTGTGGGTTGCAGCTTCTTGAGCAGCTGTTGTGGGTGTCCAGATGCAGAAGAGGCTGTAATACACAATTCCTGGCTTCTGGGAAACATGGTCAGAGCTGCTTTGTTCTGGTCACCATATGGGGAGGGGAATATTGCCGTGACAGAGAGTCAGGTTTCCTTTCCATGGACTCACCCAAGACACCTCTTTTGCCTCTTGCTTGTGGTGCTGCCTGCAGCTTGCCAGTGCACAGCCCAGCTGATACAAAGCTGAGCACATCTTTGTCCTTGCATGTTCTAATGAGTCAGCGTTAGCTTGGCTCTTCATGTTTCTCATTTAACAGAATATCAGTCAGTAAGGAAGAGCTGTCCTGGAAGGCTCTTCAGCTTCACTGATGCTAGCAAAAAAGCTTTTGGATTGATCTTCTGTGGTTTCTGGTAGCAGATGTTAGTGTGCAGCTTCATTTGTGCTGTGTAATTGTGGACAGAATAGCAGGCAGTGTTCTTGGTCTGCAGCAAGCCCTGGTCTCCTTGGTGACTTCAGCTAAGCTTTGGGGCAGCTGTTTGTGTTGTGGTTGCTTCAATCCTTTAATATTTGTCTGTGCATTCTTTAAAATCCCCATTACCAAATATAAAGCCTTTGTGTCAGCCTGTTTGCTCAGTGTATCAGTCACTGGTCTCTGAATGTGGGACTTTCTGGCTGGACATGCAAAATTCTAGCTAAAAATTATAAAATGTGTGAGTCTGTACAGCAAATCCAAATGCAGGGTCAGGGTCATGCTCTAGATGGTGCTTTGGCCAAGGGAGATAAGGTGTGTTTCTAGCACAAACAGCAAGTCTCTCTTCCTCAATTGCATTAATGCTCAGCTAGGAAAAAGAAGGAGGAGAGAGATCACAAGTCATTGGAAATCAATGTTACAGCATATTACCTTAGCAGTTAATATGTAGCAACCAGCATTTCTTGTATTGTAGTGCTTTATGTTTCTGTATCCATTTACATTTTTTTTTTAGTGTTTTTTTGCTACTTTATGAAGCCTCTTCCTGAAGGACAAATCCAAGTATTTTATGCAGGAAGCATGGGTTTCCCTGAACTTAAAACGGCCTAATGTAACTTGAGTACCTGGACTCTCACTGCTAGACAATGGAAACTTGATTGATTTTGGTTTTGGTTTTTTTTTTTCCTCCTGATCATGTTAGAAATTAATCCACCAGCAGTTTCTTGCTAAAATGGGGTATATCCTATCCTGCAAATTAGAAGCATTTGGAAGGGTTGTGTGGCACTGTGGTACCTGTTAGATGGCTTGCTATTTGATAATTGTTTTTGCTG